TAAGGCCTTTCCTCTCTCTGAACTTTGTAAACCTTTTTGCCTGTCCGGGAGAGATACTCTGCCAAAACATTCACCAGAAAGTACCAGGCTTTATATAGTAGTGACGACTAAGTTTTGCAGGGATGAAAAAAGCACTTTTCTAAACAGAGGAAACAGTATAACAATGGATACAGGAGCTTTAAAAATTATTTGTCCGACTCACAATGCATGAATCACAGTCAAGTATGTTATTGATTTACAAGCACATGGTAGCCCCCATGTTTAATAGTGCCAATACTAATTAAGATAAAATGATTGAAAAAAAGAGTCCGCTGCAGATTTTCTAGGATGGATTCATTTCATGTCATCGGTTTTCTTAGAGCTCCTAATAAGCAAAGAAATAGCAGTTAAAAGATAATTGGGCTTATCTTAATAAATAAAACTTCCTGGTTGGCTCTCCATTTTGGGGGCACATACTTACCACACAGGTTTGTGAAAGAAAACTCAACGTCAAAGAATACAAACCTGCCACTGGCATTTTAGTCTCATATTCTGTCTTTTCAACAGACCTCTGATCGTTCCTCTCTGCATACGTTGATTCGTATGAATAGTATCCCAATAATATTGCCCAGACCTAAAACTCACAACCAAGTTCCTTCATATTAAAAGATGTGTTTTCAATCAAAGAATTTATCCACCAAGAATTATAATACAAACCTCTTTCCGCAATTTGTGCTCAACTCCTCCGTAAAATATTCTTTTTCTTAAAGCTTTTGAATCCACCACTCGCCCTTCTGAATCCAAGAATGTAGCCCACTGAAAAATAATTAAATTTCATAAAGGCAATATAATACCATTCATATAAAGAATATGTATTCCATGGAACAAAGAATGTAAAACATGTAGGAAGTTCAAAGATCAGGTTTCAGGAAGCTTTAATGCAGAAATTTTTTTAAAAAAATTTATTACTAATCTATTTTGTTTCATATAGTAAGAGACGAATGGCAGAGGCATAGCCCACAGAAACAAGGATGATGTGATCAGACATGGGTGGAAAATAAATAAGCAAATTAGATAGAACACCATAAAACAAAGTTTGCATTTGGTTCCTTACGTCTTCCAACCCCGATGGTGGTTGTCGGGGCTTTCCCCACACTAGTGATAGTTTTTCAAACTGCCAGAAAATGGAGATGAAAGTATATATTAGCTAAAGATGCAGAACCTGTTCCCAAATATGAAGCAATACACAAAAGTTACGGAATTTAATATTCAAGTTCACTAGATACTGGTCCCTCTCCTAAACCATAACAAAATGCACCATAAGTGCATGCTTAGGAGAGGGCCCAGTATCTGCACAAACCAATCTCCCCCTTAACCATTTGAACTTTGTGAACCAAACACTGAGAAGTATTGATTTATGCACACTAAGAGAATGTCACAATCTATCCATATCCAAGTCAGTATCACAGCTGGGTAAAATTGTTGAACGAAAAGAGAACAAATCCAGAAACTACAATAGAACTAAGGCTCCTTATATATCCCCATATAACTGATTAGAACAAATCAAGAAACTACAATAGAACTAAGGCTCCTTATATACCTCCTTATAACTGATTAGCTCAAAAGTCCCCACGTTGGTGGCAGCTTCATCATCATGACTGTGTTTCCTATATGGGACTTTCTGTTCAACAGGACAGAGGTTGGCATCAGGTTGCCTGGTATAGAGTTCAAAACCTTCCGGCTAATAAGGCAAGTAGCAATCTTATACTAACAACAATACTTGAGATCTCCAAATAATGTGAAAAGAAATTAGAAACTTAGAACATCAAGATAACTTTTTAAGAGCAATCTGCCACCTCAAGAAGTATTAACCAGAGTCATCACATCATTTGTTTTGCATTATCAAATAGGGCCACTTAAGGCATCTTATTCATATTGCAGGAAAAGAGAAAATTTCTCAATATCCAGAAAACTAATCAATTGCATAATACTATGTCGTAAGCAGTTGATTTTGGTCATCAAGATTGAAAATTCTGATATAGGATTCCATCCAACATTAACATGGGCTTTTATCCCTGCTAGCCATGACCCCTTAAAAATGGTGATGGCTATAGCAGATTCCATTGGCCCATGAACATCATCAGATTCTATAGGAAGATGTGAACTTGTCAGGTTCCAGTTGGCCCATGAACATCATCAGAATCTATAGAAAGATGTGTACTTGCATTTCTACAACTTCCAAGAAAAAGTACAAGCACTAAATGTGAGCTAAAGAGTATCTAGAGTTCCAATCCTAAGGCAAAAATTTAAATCTCTACAAATGTTTAACAGACGGAAACACTTCTAGTGAAAAAATTAACCGGCAAATAATTGACAAAGGGAACAAAGAGATACCTCAAGAGGATCTGGATCAACAGGGCTTTGAACGGCAACTTTGTCAGCATCATCAGATGGTTCGTGACTATAATTAAGAGGAGACTCGTTAGATTTTCTCCTCTCAAGAGGACCAAAACCATTGCTGTGAGTCTCCCAGAATAGCTGCGAAGTGGTTTCTCGGGCAAACCTTGTTACAAGAGAAAACTTCTCCAAAACTTGAATTGAAATGTCCCGAGCAGGATCATGAAACTTTTGCCTCCGCCTTCCATTATACTGAGGAATACTAACATTTCCATCACTGACTGCCGTATCTGTGCTCTCGTGATTTTCATGTGAATTAGACTCCCTCGCTAAAACAGGTGTTGATGGCACACTTGCAATGGAAACCGCCCTGGGAAGCTCCAAAGAGGATAAAGTTCGATGACACAAGCAATTAGAAGATTCAGAATAAAATAGCAACTACTTAACAGTGTCTGATCAATAAGACAAAGAAAAATAAAATTGGACAATTTGTTCAACAAATCTAGTTTTCCAACTGAAAATGAAAAACAGATCAGAACAATGTCAGTCTGGTACGATTAGACTTGGACCAGGTATTAAAATTTTCAACCTCTACAAATGTAGTATATTTAGCAATTAAAGAATAATTTAAAGAAAAATATATATATATAGTATATAGAATATATGATAATATATAATATATAGTTCTGTCAAAAAAGTAATATATGGTTTTTGAAAATATATAATATAGTTTTTAAAAACATATAGTATAGTTTTTGAAAACATATTATATAGTTTTAAAAAAACATATAATATATAGTTTTTGAAAATATATAGCATAATTTTAAAAACATATAGTATAGTTTTTTGAAAACATATTATATAGTTTTAAAAAAACATATAATATATAGTTTTTGAAAATATATTGTTATATAGTTTTGAAAACATATAATATATATAGTTTTTGAAAAACATATGTAATATTTTTTTGAAAACATATTATATGATTTTGAAAATATAATATATTATATAGTTTTTTAATATATATATATATATTAAGCTTATTATTGTTATTATTATTTATTTATTATATTTTTTTATTTTCAGGTTCAAATGGTCCAGTAAAAGTCTAAGGTCCCAAAAAATTAAGGTCATGGTCCAAATCAAGTCCAATGAAGTCAAGATCCAAATAGCAGACCCGCTGGACCTAACATGTCGTTAAACCAGGCCCAGAAAGGGACTCAAACCATATTAGGGTTTCAAACTTAGCAAGGGCACCGCACAAATGGCGCGTGAAAGCCACGTGCAACAACCGACCGAGATTTCGAGGCAGAGCAAATCAGAGCAACCCGGGACTGAACCATCCCGGGATTTCTGGCCAGCACAAACAACAAGTCGACCCGAGTAAACCGTGGACGAGGGAAACAACCCCGGTAGGATTGGAAACAACCACCGACAAAGAGGGTATAAATACCCCACCCAAGCCATCGAAAAAGAGGCCATCGGGGAACACAAGCAAAAAATTGATCAAGCAACCAAGCACATACGAAGGAAATCACAAAAAAATACCAACAAAACAACAAAAATCACAAACATCGAAGTAAAAAACAAAAAAATAGTATACCAAATACATAAACCCAAAGGCAAAAAACGTTCAAAACCGGAAAAAAAAAAGCTTGAGGCTTTGTCTCATCAAAGAATGCCAGGAACGCATAGAAGCCTCGCAAGAAGGGAAAAGTCACCGGAGAGTCGAAAAGTCACCATAGGTAAAGGTAAAGTCGAAACTTTAAACGTATATCTACGTCGTTTTGTGGTTTTTAGGGAATTTGGGGTTGGGGTTCAACTTCGGGATGTTTAGAGGAATATTTTTGGGTAGCCCCTAGGATTCCGGCCACCGGCGACAATTCGAGAGGTGGGGTTTGGTCGATGAGTGACCGACCTTTGGCTGATCAATGAGAGTTGGGAGAGTTTTATTTTTGGGGAGGGGGTATGATTTTGAGAAAATTTGTGAAATGAAATGTTTGGGTGTTTTAAGGGCTATTTATAGGGAGACCTTGGTGTAATTAGCAAATATTTAAATTATTTCCGCATTCCCTACAGTTTTGATGCGTAATACATTTTGGTCACTTGTTGTAATTTTTCCCTTGAATTTTGAATTAATTCAATTTAATCTATGATTATATTTCTTATATTTTGCAAATCGACCCCTAACTTTTTATTTTTCCTTGCAACTTTCATTCAGCATCAATTTTACCCTTAATCTTTTAATTCTTTTCAATTTAATCATTATTTAATATTTATTTTTTTAATTTTTTTATTTTATTTTATTATTTAACATTAATGTTTAGGACAAATTTAACTGGTAAAGGTAAGTAATTTGGATTGAATATTTAAATTTCAATTTAACTTTTAATTTTCGCAATTAAGACAACCAAAAAATTAAATTGGTATCGAAAGGGAAGTACAAGGGTGCTAATCCTTCCTTTACTGTAATTAACTCCCGAATACGACATATTTATGGTAAAACGCAGATCAGGTAAGATGGTAAATTAAGGTGTTCGGTCAACCTAATTTTTTTAAATAAATGATCGGTGGCTGCTCTAACATGTTTTATTTAAGTCGAAGCCCAATTTCGAGCCCACTCGATGGACGGTTACGATAGCTTGATGACTTTTCTGGGGACAGATAAGTGGGTTAGTCCAAAGTTAATTTTCGGTTGTCTTTTTAAGCGAAAATTGTGAGTTTAAATTTTAATTTATCTATTCGATCCTTATTATTTATCTTTGATTATTTTTTTTCCAAATAAATAGTTGTATTGATGTTTTTTTCAATGATTTCAGCTTTTCAAAATTTCTCTCAGGCTCTATACCCGAGCTCCAAACCTTTTCGTAAGTGGAGGTGAAAGCGACACCTTCGTGAGAATTTATTCTCCGTACAGGCCTAGCAAGTAACCTTCAAGATATATATACCTTATATCTTCGTGTGAATTTATTCTCCGTACAGAAATAAGGGAATGCGTCCTTTCGAGTTTAACTTGGTCCACAAGAGCTTGTAATGGGCTTAGGACTGAGGGTCTGGCAAGCCCAAGGGGGCACCATGAAGGATAACTCGGGTACCTTTTTTTTAGAACCTAAACCGGGAGACTGCAAGGAATTAGAGCCCACCTTGAAACTCCATTTGAAAAACTAGGATGCTTTAGTTATTTCCTGCTTTATTTTCAGTTCAAAGCATGCAAACTAGAAATATATACAGTTAGGACTTGTTCAAAAATTAACATGCGGGATAGAGATCATGTCCGGGTAGAAATAATAAGCATGTGGGGTAGATATCATGTGGGGTAGAAATTTCTATTTTTGTTAGTATTTTAATTATTATTTTTATCTTACTACCTTGTTTCCTTGTCATCTTTGTTTTTCTTTTATTTTTATCATTTGCATCATTAAAAGAGGTGTTGATCCACAAAAATTGTTCGTTAAATTCAAATAATTTGCATTAATGGACAAAGGGGTTGTAATACAATAGGTGAAAACTACAGAGGTTCATGCTCCTCGAATTCCTAAATCCCATGTGGAATTCCTTGCTCCTGGAATTTCTGACCACTGTTTGGCAATTGCTTGGCTATCTAAAGAGGTTCATGCTGATCATCTTAAGCCTTTCAATTTTTTAACTTTTGGGTCCATCACTCTAAATTCCGAAACGTAGTAAGTTAATCTTGGCAATCTTCTTCCCAGAGCAATCCTATGCAACAACTTTTCTTCAAACTTAAACGCCTTAAAACCAGTTTGAAAGCCCTAAACCATAATCATTATAACAACATCTTTGCTTGTGTCAAGCAAAAGAAACTGGAGCTTGAGGAACAACATATCAGATCATTAAATTTTGTAGATTCTTTCCAAAAAGTACTCCAATTACAAAATGAACTTTATCTCCTTGAAGAAGCCAAGAACATGTTTTTAAGACAGAAAGCGAAGATTCAATGGCTTAATGATGGCGATAAATGTACTAAATTATTCCACTTTGTAGTTTCTACTAAAACCAATAGGGACACTATTAGAGTGCTTATTGACGGCCAAAGGAAAAGATTAGAATCTTATGAGGATATGGCTGTAGAAGTGCTACGGTTCTATACAAACCTGATTGGGACTAAAAATTCTGAGGTAAAATCATGCGACCCGGACACTTTAAAAGAACTGCTCCAATACTCTTTGCCTTTGGGAAGCTCAAATGAACTTGTCAATAAGGTCACAAGAGATGAGATTAAAGATGCTATATTTTCTCAAGGCAACGACAAAGCTCCAGGTCCGGATGGCTACACTCTATATTTTTTCAAGAAAACATGGCCTATTATTGGAGATGATGTGGTGGCAGCTATTACTCATTTATTTAGAAAATCTTATATGCAGTGTTCTTCTTTTAATGTCACTTGTATTACTTTGGTGCCTAAAATTCCAAATCCAAGCAAGGTGAAGGATTTTAGGCATATTTCTTGTTGTTTGGTGGTCTATAAAGCTGTTTCTAAAATCTTGGTCAAACGATTGACATCTCTGCTTCCTAAAATTATTTCTTTTAACCAAACTGCTTTTGTTAAAATGAGGAACATAATAGACAACACTCTTCTTGCATAGGAGCTTGTCAAAGGCTATGGAAGGAAGACAATATCCCCAAGATGTTCACTGAAAATTGATCTCCATAAAGCTTTCGATTCTTTGTATTGGTATTTTGTCTCTGATGCTCTCATTGTTATTGGTCTTCCTGTCACTTTCATAAGTGGGTTGAAGCTTGTTTCACTACTGCTCGTTACTCTATATCATTTAATGGAAGTCTAGTTGGGTTCTTCAAAGGTGCTAGAGGATTAAAGCAAGGTGATCCTATCTCTCTACTTCTTTTTGTACTTTCTATGAATGTCCTTTCTAGTATTCTTAACAAGGCTGCTATTAGAGGTATTTTTGGCTTCCACACAAGATACTTGGGATTAACAAGGCAAGGCGAAATCTCTGGCCTTAAGCTTAATGCACATAAATGTGAATCCTTCACTGTTGGAATTTCCCCTAGGAAAATTGAAGAAATCAAGTGGATTACATGTTTTAACCATGGTTGTTTACCTGTTAGATACTTGGGTGTTCCTCTAGTTTCTAGGATACTTTCGGAAAAAGACTGTGTAGCACTTATTGATAATATTAGAGACCGCCTTCACAAATGGTCTAGAAGACATTTGAGCTATGCTGGTAGACTTGAGCTAATTAAAACTGTTATGCAGAGTATTACTAATTTCTTGTGTAGGTAGTTAATCCTTCCTCAATCTATGCTTAATCGAATCGAGAAGTTATGTTCAAGGTTTTTCTGGAAAGGTTCTGAAAAAACTGCTACTGGTGCAAGAGTTAGTTGGAATAAGCTTTTCCTCTCGAAATCCGAAGGGTGTCTTGGTCTTAAAGAAATAAAGTCTTGGAATAAATCTTGTATTTTGCATTTGATTAGGAAAATCCTTGCGGGTGATGGTTCGTTATGGATTGTATGGATTAAAGCTTATGTTATCAAAAATTCTAATTTTTGGATCATGGAGGATGGGATCAATACAAGCTGGAGCTTTCGAAAACTGCTAAGTATGAGGCCTCAAGCTGCTTCTATTTTTGCTTCTGGAGCACAATCAATCAAAGACATATGGCACCTAATTCGAAACAAAGAGGACAAGGTTACTTGGCATAAGCTGATCTGGTTTCCTCTTCATGTTCCTAAGTATAGTATTATTACTTTGATAGCTTTCCTTGGCAGATTACCAACCAAATATAGGTTGATTCGAACGAGGTTCAACATTGACAGTAATTGTGTGCTTTGTAATGATTCGATGGAAACTAGAGATTACTTATTTCTCCACTGTACTTTGGCAAATTTGATATGGAGCTTTGTTTTGAATCTCAATGGCATTTGCAGAGGATCTTGTTTGTGGGGTACTCACATTTCGTGGGCTTGTGCTTCTTAGAAAGGAAAATCATTGCTAACTACTATCATGAAGCTAGCTTGGGCTACTTTTACTTACACTATTTGGGAGGAGAAGAATAAAAGAATTTACCAAGGACGCTCAAGAAATGTTAATGACTTACTCCTTGCTATTAAAGATTATGTTGCTATTCAACTAAGGGGTAGGGAAATTAAAAGAAATGACTATGTCAATAGTACACTTTCTAATCAATGGAGTATCGATTATTGATGTTTTGTTTTTTGATGTATATAGCTTGTAAGTATTGGTATTTTTGTAAGAACAGGCTGCAATTTTGAAGCAGTTTCCTGCTCTTTTGGATATAAAATTGATTTGATTATAAAAAAAATGCAAAGGTCCAACTATGGTCAAAGAATACTCAGAAGAAAAAGGAAGACAACTTGCAAGGTAACTATGTGTCAGATCTGGTTGGTTATGCTTCTGTTAGCCTTAAACAAAACGATTTCAAGAGTTACGGAGCATTTGGGACAGCTGGAAAAATGACAAGAAACAGAGATTCTGCCAATGGTGTGGTGATATCGCACTTCTACTCTATGTCAAATAGACGATCCCCTAATTCAAACCTTAGTGCAATTTTAGAATTTAGGGTACAGCTATTTTACATTCAATCAAGAGGACATGGTTCCCACCATTGAGGAATATACTACTTACTACATTGTGAATGAATCAGAATGAATTAGGTCTACACAAAGTACATCAAAAGTCAGCCTTTCAAGAGTGGATTGGCAAAGGTTGAAGGGCTAGATGAAAAGTGGGTAACTAACCGGATTCAACATAAAGGCAAGGGAGAAGAAATTGCTTGGACTCATATCAAGCAATTAATGTAGAATCATCATGATAAATGGAAGTTGATTGATCTTTTGCATTGGGTATCTATGGCATTGGGTATCTATGGCTTGGTTATCTTCCTAAAAACTTTGGGATATATTGATGCACTGTGGTGGAACTATTCAAGCAACTACCTAAGCGAGTGAACCCTGCGCAAACAATCTTAGGCGAAACTTTTCGTTCACTAAACCATTATAGAAGGACTATTAGAGAATGATTTATAGGGTGTACACAGCTTCTTCTGGTGTGGATTCATAGTCATTTCTAGAAGACTGATGGGATTTCTTACCGCCGATTCAGCACCACTTACTTTCATTTGGAGGAATTTCTTACACAAAATGGCAAGAAGGCATTACAAAAGAGAAGTGGATAATTGTATTCATGCACTTTCAAGATAAGGAATTATATGGAGAGCCCCTGGCTAACTCATAGTGACCTCCTTTATCAATGTGGAGACTCATGAATCATAATGTTACTTGGGTTGTGGGGAGAAGTCGGATATTCTCCACTTTTGGCACTTCTGCAGTATGGGACAAGACAGTTTGTCCCAGTTACATATGAGATTTATGGATTAGAGTTTGCACACCATGAGGATAACTAAAAAAAGAAGGTCAAAGATATGGCCGAGTCATGGAAGAAAATATTTCGCATAGATGTCGTAACTGCTAAAGACATGCTTACTCCAGATTATACAGAATGGATGAAGTTAATAAAGAGTGACACCGTTCCCATACCAGATCATGAAGATACTCGGACCATGGAAGAGCATCTTAAATCAGTTTCCTCTGAATTAGAGATAGCAAAGAAGGAATTCGAAGCTGAAAATGAGGAGCTAAAACAAAGACTAAGGGAACTTGAAGTTGAGAGGTTCCAATGGAAGTTTGATTCCAACACTCAAGCGGACAAGTTAGAGGATGAAAAGAAGAAAGTCTGCTTTGAGTTGGAAAATTTGAGAAAATGGTATCAAGAGCAAGTTCAGAATAATTCCAGTTTAAAAGGGTTTTCAGAGTACTGGAAATGCGAAGCCAGTAGTCCGAGGGACAAGATGAAAGAGAGGCACTAAAGGAAAAGTTAAAGACTTCCCAAAGACGTTTGTTAGAAAGCCAGCACCAGAACAAACGATTAAAAACCAAGGTAACTGATTTGGAAAGGTCTCTTCAAGAGAAACAAGAATGAGATGGTAGAACTATAGCTGAGTTGGATGCCATTGTGGATAAATGCAAGAAACAAGCAAATGAGCTTCAAATAATCCCTTTCGATGGAGGACTTCTATGGAGTTTTCATTGGGAATAGGCTCAGCAAATGGTGAAGGCTAGAGATGTAGTTATTTGAGACTTTTTAGAGCAAGTACAGAAAGAGGCACGCCACTTACACAGTTTGGTGAGAGAAGCCAAGGTGATTCGACAAGGTATTCAACCGTTGACAAATAAAGATAGAAGATTTGTCAACCTATTAGAAGTCGTTTTGGGTCTAAAGGATTTAGTCAGAATGTACCTTTGAGTTATTTTGATCTTTTAGAAATAACACTTTTGTCCCAATAAAGATTATTTATAATAACGGACATGTTTTTTGGATCAGTGCCTCAAAGCTTCATGCATCATGCATTCTTGCATATTTCACAGTATTTTTCTTTTTCTTTTCGTTACATTCACATTAACTAACATAAGATGTCTCACCGTCGGTAAAGGAACAAACACTGGAAACACCTCATCAAGCATTGAACATACCTCATCCTCACAATACCCGTTCAAAGGAAAGGAAAATGGAAGATAAGATCACTCAACTTGAAGAGAACATGTTGCGGTTACAAAGGGAGCTTGAAGAAAAATAATTCAGAATAATCAAAGCACTTTGAAATCAATCACTAAAAGCCAAGAGTCTTTGGTTGATCAAATCGTTGCAAGGTATTCTGGCCTAAATCAAATAAATGTTCCTAGGGTAGGGGCATCTGAGGGGATGGTTGTACAACCTACTCCACAGTTGGTTATTTCACTAGGAATCTTACCAGGACTTCAAGGGGATTCATCTTCCGTGAAAGCACATGCCATTATAACCAACCCTCAAAATAATCTAGATTATTACCATATTCTGGAGTTTGATGAGAAAGTCAAAGAAAAGATGGTGGAAACGACATTAAGGAAAGAATGACACAAAGATGTAGGTAAAGTAGAAAATCTCCCATGAAAAAGAGAGAAAGAGAGATCGACAACATCAACGCTTTTAACACCAGCAAAAATGTTACGATCTCTAAATCAAAACTAACTGCAATTATACCGTCAGGTACTTCTAGACAAGGTTCGAGGGAATCAAGGAGAAAAGAGAAATGAGCATTTCGATTCTATTCCCATGACATATAAGGAGCTTTATCAACAACTTTTTGACACACATATGGTGTCACCATATCCAGAGGAACCTCTAAAGTCCCAATACCCAGGTGGTATGATAAAAATACACATTGTGAACATCATGGCGGTGTTCTGGGGCATGTTATTGAAAATTGTCTCGCCTTTAAGAGGATTGTCCAAAGAATGCACAACAAGAACTTGATTAATTTCAACAATTCAGAATCACCCAAAGTTGCACAAAACCCTCTACCTAATCACTAAGAGAATGGGGAAAATGGAATCACCAAGGAGAAGGGTAAGAAGGTCGAAACCAGAGTTTTTGAAGTGAAGTCACCTCTGGCTTGGGTATGGAGACAAATGATAAATGTGCGGTTTCTTGAACCGTATCCTAGCACATCAGATTGCAAAGGTGGCAGTCATTGCTATTATCACAATGAGGACGGAGATAATGTACAAGAATGTGTCGAATTTAGAGTCTTGATCCAGCTAATGATAGACAGAAAAGAGTTGGAATTTTACGATGAAAATAATGACACTCCCGAAGTGGATGTTTGTGCAACTGGAGATGCATCTGAAAAGTGAATACCACAATCAAGGAACAGTGTAACTTGGGATGAGACAAGGGGAGATCATCACTATTACCACAAAGTTATGTTGCCTATGAAATAATGTATTGTTTGAATTTATCTTTTATATGCTTGATTTTTTTTAAATGACATTTCTTTGAGTAAAAGAGAATTGCTTGACATTCAGTGAATATCAAGTATAATGAAATGCACATTTTAAGAAATGAGGTTATAGCCTTTTGACATATGCGGAGATCAAATCCCTTTTTAAAAAAACAAGATCCATATCCTTTACCAGAAAAAAGAAAAATGTTTTCTCACGCATACAAGTATGAAAGTATACAAGATGGGGCATCTTCGATGTATGAAATTGCAACACCAGTTAGTTTGCATGTCTGTTAAGGATGTTCCATGATGATATACAATTTTCACAAATGAAATGGTGGAATAAACAAATTTGGCTTAGATCAGTTGCTTAGGAATTGAGCTCTAAAGATGAAATTTTCTGATTTCCATTGACACTCAGACTATAACAGATTATTCCTGACAAACTTAGGAAATCTTGAAATCAAAGAATTAATGTGATATTAATGAACAATAATTTTAAAAATGCTAGGGGCACTCCGCTGAAAGTAATATGCTGTTAATCTTCGAGGTAATGTCCGAAGTAGTAAAAACCCTAAGTATATCTTTAGGATTTTCTTTTATTTATTGTTTAGGGGTTTCTCCCATTAAAATGTATATATATATATATATATATATATGTTTAGTATATATGGGTTTACTGTTAAGTATATATGTAGTATATATGGATTTCTTCTGTTTACTGTTTAAGATTATTTATTACTGTTTAAAAACCATTAATATATGAGTTTTCTGCTTACTGATTGCATGAATGAGAAATTGTTTAATATATATGTTTAGAAACCCCTAAAAACCTTGTTGATTGTTTATTGATTTTGTAATATATATGTTTGTTGATATATGTTTACTGACTGCATGAATGAGAAATTGTTTAATATATATGTTTACTGATTGTGTAATATATGTGTTGATAATATATATGATAATATGTTTAGTAATGATATGTTTATTGATAGAATATATGTTTGCATAGAATATATATTATTATAGAATATATGTTCTAATATGTTTATTTGGATAATTTAAGTTTATTGATAGAATATATGTTGTGATAGAATTATTTGTTTGCATGAATATATATGTTTTGCATGAAATCAAT